CTCCCCCCCCAACCCAACATTGCACTTATGTCATGTTTAAGAGTGCTGTATCTTGATAGTGCTATAAAAAAGTTCTCTAAATTACAGCACTGTAAAATGTACAAATTGTGTGCACATTTGTATACTTTTGTACACATCTCAAGTCTACAAATCATCAGGGTTTAGCCTATTCTCTACTGTTTGCCTACCTAATACTCAGCCTTGTTAGGCCTAAGTTTAACTTCCTTCAGTTGAATATATTTAAATTGATATTTCACTAGCAGGTTAAGTGAGCACTTTAAGAATGACCTTTGTCACTTCCTTATCTCAGATGTCATAAGGACCCTGATATTTTCCTGTATGTAAAACTGCCTAAATTCTCACCTTTAAAACCTTGTCTTCATCTGCCATGATTTCCATCTTTCTTTTACCCAGACAATGGTTGCTCTCACTACATCATCTTTATTTCCATACCCATGCCTAAAATATTGACTTTCTTGAATTTCTAATCTTGGCTGTGGTGAGAAACAAGAACATGCCATTCCCATCCTCTGAGCTATTTTTCTAATAAAAAAGATATTAGTCTTCAAAATCCTTCATAGAGTTGACCTACCCACCCCATCTCTTAATTTAAGCCTGTCTTTCCCCATGCTTCTCAAATATCATTTTGCTTTGTGTTCTCTCTCTCCATAGCAAACAGGCAATCCTTCGTCTAGTCTATTCCCACCACCTGGAACAGCTTTTCTGACTTTCTGCCCCTAACCGATTTCGAAACACTCATCTCAAGATCTGTTTCTCTTACCTTGACCTACAATCTGAAACAAAAATCTCTTTAAGAGCAATTACTGAACCTTACAATTTCCCTGTGGTTTACTTTTCTCCCATGAAATTTATGCGCTTTGTCTTTATCTTAATACAGTCACACCTGCCACCTGTGCAATACATTGTAAGCTATATGTTTTATTATCCTGCCTCTTGACTGTGATTTGCTACAAATAATTATTATATGGCTGACTACAAAATATTTTAGCTATATTTTATTGGAAAGATGTTATTCAGACCAGTATTTTATGGGAATAAATTACCACATTTAGAAGGAGATCAAGAAATATGCATTTGCTTACAAAGAAAGGCAAGGATTTCTTTGGGTAATATATTTTTGGACCAACTGTGTAGTTGGGATAGAATTAGACAAGTTTTCAAATAACAGACCTAACAGAGAAAGTCTTGCAAGTTTGCTTAAAAACTCTTATGAACTCAGTTATACGTGTTACCAGATACATGTTACTATGTGCCTTATTTCAGCTGAGAGAGCTTCATTTTGGGATATTTCCTCTGTATTTTGAAGGAACTCCTAAAAGATACAAATACTTCTTCTGTTGATTCAGTGGTGGGGAACTCTGAGTGGAGAAAATAAGTATGACAGACCCTTGAGAGGTGTGAAAGAATGTGTGGAGCATAACATGGACTTTAACTGTGTTCCCTTCTGAGTTCCTTCACCTTCCCATTATGTAGCAGGAAGTATTAGGCAAGTCTGGCGTAAACCTTCCTTGTGGAAATGTTGCTGAGTGCCTGAAAGTAAACAGAGGGGAAGGGGAAAGGAGGGTCTCGCCTGCCCCTGAGAATTCAACGACTCACGCTGCTTCTGCTTTGTCTCTGCACCTGTCTCCTGTCTCTGGAGTGGAGAGGGGGGTACCATTCCAGTGTCCCCTCTAAGTCAGAGCCCACACCTGGTGCCACTCTTGCTCCGCCTGACCCCCAACAGTTACACTGGTGTTCAAGCTTGCTCTTGTTTGACTACCCTGTCCTCCCCCTCTTTAGATGTAGTAAGTGTGTCTTTAGGAAACCATGGATCTGAGTGATCTGTTTGGGCCACAACATTTTTCCATAGTCCTCAAAACTTCAGATGGGTCGTCCCAATATGACTTGGAAGGGTTAACATTAGGAAGTTTAAAATGTTAAGATTGTTACAGCTGTGTTTAGTAGCCACTGGCCAAGAACCAGTGCAGGTGAAAGGCTAACAAAGACATTTTCCAAAGGTAAATGAAACTTGGAATTCAGCTGCTAGATCTTGTGCATATAGACAAGGGGAAACCTGAAAATCTCTACAGACTGAGGTCACTTGACTTTGGCTTTTGCTACCTCCAGACTCCTCCTCCCATTGCACATGCGGTGTATGATGACAGGAGTAGGCATCAAGCAATTGCTAATATAGCATGAGCTACTTTAATCCTCACTGGAAACAAATAGCAATAAAGACCATGAGTTGGGCACACTGTATCCCTCCTCAGTGTTTAAATTAATAAAATTATGCCTTACCTCTTAAAATCCTTCCCATGTGTCTGTCATTTTTTCACCTGTCTGTCCTGCTAAATTCAAAGACATAAAGGGAATGATATTAGGACTGTGTGAAGCTTCGGTTACTGATTCAATTCAGTGGGGATTCAGCCCAATTTGACAGCTGAATCTCTGAATCCAAATCGAATTAGGAGACCCATTAATCTTTCTGAATCGAATCAACTTGGAGGCTTCTGATTTGGAGAGATTCAATGATTCGGCCATAGACACAGCTTTATATGTTTTTTCTGTGTACTTTGAGGTACCAGGTGTGGCTTGTGAATGCTGTGATGGTGAGGTGGATGGAGTGTCCCATGGGAGCATTGTGGGGGTCCCCTTCGCACTCGGCGGCGGACCCGGAAGTAGACCAGAAGTACTTCCAGTCCACATCCAGGTCTGCCGCGGACCATGCAGGGAACATCCCCCTTTATGCCCCCCTGCTCAGTGACTGGTGCTTCCTGGGTCTGGGGGGGACACCTGGGGTTCCCTTGTGGCCTATTGCTGAGCTGGGGAGTGTTGGGGGGTGGTCCCCTGCGTGCTTGGCAGTGGATCGGGTCCACGTGCTCAGCAGCACTTCTGGGTCTGCCACAGAGTGCGTGGGGGATCCCATCACAGTGTTTATGAGCTGTGCCTGGTATCTCAAAGTACATAGAAAAAACATATAAAGCTGTGCCTATGGCCAAATCACTGATTCTCCAAATCAGAATTGAATCTTTCGATTCAGATTTGGCCGAATCTAATCAGCACAGTGATCTGAATCAGCAAATTGAATCACTGTCCCCCAAATCAGGCTGAATCTGAATCCAAATCGAATACTGCCCACTTTGCATACCCCTGAGCGAGATATATTTCTAAGGAAGAAAATTTACAAGAAACTAAAAGTACTGTAGCTTTACACTTGCACATTGATTTATTTTCTCTGTACTTGCATCCTGTAAGAATCAATCAAAAAATAAATTGCAAAAGATAATAGATCTAATATTTCCTATGCTTTACAATGTAAATTAATTCCAGATGCATGTGGTTATTTGAACTGGTTAGTTTAGACAGGTACAGGATTTAGGGGAATCAATTCTGTGCCTGGAACTTAGTGTAGTAAGAATTATGAAACTTCCCTCTATTGTTTTTCCAAATTATGTTTTAATTTTGTTTAATTTTATTACTTGAGCAGTGACTTTAAAATATTACTTCAGTGTCTGAATACATTTTTCATTTGTTTCCATTAGAGAAGCTAAACAGATGTTATGTGACATTTATATCCTTTCCACTAGGAGGCAAATGGAGACTATCAAATATTCTTTCTTGCCCCTTTACACTAAATAATAATAAATATTCTTACAAGGATAAACCATTAACATTTATGTATCTAAGATATTTTTTAAAACTCTTCTGGACTCTGTAGATGTTATCATTTTTTTCATTCTACTGCATGTTATAATTGAGATCCTTTAAATTTTTTTAGATTCAGCATTAGAGCTTCTGAGAGATGGGGATAAAAATTACTTTACCTTATGTTGGTTGTCTTTTATTTAAAATGCTATTTAAGTTTCAAACAGTCTGGATTTCATATATAAAAATATGCTTGGATACTTTTTGTTTCAGTATGAATACAAGAAACTATTTGAGAGAAGCAAGGGACTTTATCATTTTGCCTTGGACACAGCTGAACAGATGCACCACAAAGAAAATGCTGTGCTTCAAAGTCAGGTATATACATACTGTAAATAAATCTTACAGACACACAAATTCAGCTTTCATGTAGTGACTAAGTCATGTGCAGAGTCCCACAATAAATTACAATGATATGAAATGCATATAAATTTAGTATGGCCCCTCATGGGTATAGCAAAGTGCTTATATTAAAGTATCAGGGCTAAGTGCATTGAGGTCTCTTACAGGAAAGGGGTCTCTTTAAACTGTTCTTAAATTCAGATGCCAATAAATATATAAGAAGGTGTGTAATACCAAGAGAGTTATGGATGAAATCATTCTTTGTAGATTTGGTGATATAATTTTAATGTGGTACTTGAATGAATGAATGCATTGATTGATTAATTGATTGATTCCTCCATTCATTCATTAATGTGTATAGATACATACATATATGCACATATGCATGGTGTGTGTATCACATTAAAATTATATCAGTTCTGTGCCTGGAATTTAGTGTAATAAGAATTATGCAAATATTGCTTTTCCAAATTATTTTTTAATTTTGTTTAGTTTTATTACTTGAGCAATGACTTTAAAATATTAATTCAGTATCTGCAGACATTTTTCATTTCATTATGTATATATACCACATTAAAATGATATCACTAATCTGAAAAGAATGAAGGACTGATTTCACCCTTAACTCTCTTGGTTTTACAGTAGATGAAACTTCCCATATTTAGTTTTATAATGTCTCTTTCTCTCTTTCCCCCCCCCCCCCCCCCGATTAGAATGGTTAAGTTATACATGAACTTTGTCAATAAATTTGAATAAAACTTGTATGAATATTAGAGAACGAAGTTACAAGGCTCATCCAGGTTTTAGGGTGCCAGGTCAAAAGAAGTCATGCTATTTATAAGATATGTGTGTGTGTGTATCCCCAGAGTTATGTCCATAAATATAGTTTTTGGTACAGTTTTCAGGGTCAAATTTAGAGATAACTAAAGGAGGAGATGGAGATTATAAGAGTAATGCCATCTCCCTTTTCAGCAAGGGGTTAACTTGAGCAATGCTTGAAAGAAGTATTTAAGAATGGTTGCTGCGGAGCTAAAGAACACTATCCAAGGTAAATCAGGTCTTCATGTGTTAGGGTCTGAAGCCCTGCTTGAACCCAAGGTTTTGGATAGTTGTTTAAGTGTGTCTTATTTAATTATCCTCATGGTAGTTTGTTTTAATATGTGGCTTTAAATAAAGGCTTGCTACTGCTCATAAACTGTATTATTTCTGCTGAGTCACTCATTACAAGATGCAGCTGATGTCTTGAAAATTCCACTGGTTCTGTTGCATAAATTGCTGATTTTATCCCCTGGAGGCT